ATTCTAGACATGATGTGGCTTCAGTTTTTTCATTTCCTGTAAATAAAGAATTAAGAACGAAAAAGATTAAATTTGTAAATAGACTAAACTGGGTGCCAACTAAGTTTGCAGTTATTTGTGCAAAACATTTTTTGGGAAAATATTTAAAACATGGAGAACAAGAAAAAAGATTTCGTTTAATAAAGAAGTTAAACCAGTACCAACTAAACATCCAAGTGTTATATCGAAATCATCTATGCCAACAATAAATTTGGAAAGAAAATCTCCAACAAAACGAATTCTTCTCAAAGGAACGAATTTAAAAAAAAAGATTTAATAAAAATTTTTAACTGTATTGCTGATATTCCGTGTCCAAGTGGCTACCAAATGCTACCAAATGCTACCAAATGCTAAAACATAATGGTCATATTGTATTTTACAAAATGTTGTTTAATGAGTTTTCAATACCAGAAGTTATTAAGCGTATAAGAGTTAATGAGAGTTTACACGTTTATCTATTTTATAAGGGTTGTTTAGTGCCATTAACAAAATGGTTTTGTATTGGTCATAATTGTACATTAACTCGCAAAAGTATGTTTAAAAACTTTCCTGCTTATTTAAGAAGTCAAGGAGAATAAAATTTCTCAGTTTTAGAAGAACTTGAAAAAATAAAATATCAGAAAAGACCATATAGTATATATGCATATAGTTTACCATATTTTATATTATTTACTCATTTTTAATTATAAATAATAGTTGTAATTTATAACATACGACTCATACTTCAATATATTTGTAATCTAAATTTACGTAGCATTAAATTTGTTCTATTGATTCTAATAATTAACTAATTAACGCGCTACTGAATATAAAAAATTACTTTGCCGAAGTAAGTCATTAAGTTGGTTTTATACATTAATAAACCATGAGAAATGTTAAAGAAAAAGATTTGGATTTTTTATTTTTACGTCTTCGTTTAATTCAGTCGTTACAGATTTCAAAAATATACAGTTTATGGTAAACTATATGTTCCTTAATAGAAAAATTTTTCTATGAAGGAACGTAGAGAAAATTTATTTTTTATTAAGGAACATATTGAAAATGTTTTTATGGGCTATATTAATCTTTTTTATGTATAGCAACACCTTAGCAAGTGTGTGGTGTCCTTAATTTGAACAAAATTTTTTATATTTTTATTCGACATATCAAAATAAAATTTTTACAGCACTTTCCTTAATATTAGAACTAGGTAATGAACTAAAAACAACTATATGGAGCAAACAAATCTGTAATAGTATTTTTATTTTTTTATTAACCAAGTATTATAATGTTCAAATAGAATAATCCGCCATTATAAATTCATAATGTTTTTAAAGTAAGCTTTTAGTGCAAAACCTCCTTAACCACATGTAAAAAATTTAGTTCGAATACTATGTACAGATACTTAAAAACTAATTTTAAAAGTTTTTAACTTATTTGGAGATTTTTGCTGAAACAGCATTTTTTTTCGAGAAAATGTTCAAAATTATGGTCAAAGTATTTTTTTATTATCTAATCTACAGATTCTAGTTTAAAAAAATAATAATATAATTTTCAACGGATTTAGTGGTTGAAGATGAGCCACCCTAATATACTAAAGCAACTTATTCAACAATATAGTTTTGAATTACGTAAAATAAATTAATTTACATCTTAATAATATATATTTTTAAAGCTTAACAATCTATGAAATTTATTTGCTTTCAAAGACTTTCCCACATCAGACAAATTTTTCAAACAATTCTTCTGCACTACTTTAATTTAGTTTTGCTTGACCAAGTTTACTTTAAAATAACAGCAATGAAAAACTTTAAATAACACAAAAAAAGCCATTTGTCTGGTGACCTGCATCCCAGACTTTGTTTCTTATTTAAAATTATTCTTAAACTTTCTATAAAAAAGAAAATTCTTTATAAATAAAGCTCTAAATCAGGCTAAAATACTTTTATTTTTGTCACCTTTGTTTAAAATAAAAGTTAAACAATTACAACTTCATTGTCATCATAAAAGACGGTTATAAGAAACAAAAATCCCTGGAACTATATTCAAGCATGTTTATAAAATAGTCAAAAAGAACATCACAGATGGAAGATGAAGATAAAATAGATGAATTTTATTAAATAAAAATATTACGCATGCTGTTTATACCTGACCGTCTAGTGTAAGGTTTTAAATAAATATATATTAAAAGCTGTCAAATAAATTAATGTTTTAAAGTGCGTAATGCAATACCGCTCAGTTAAACATTTTTTTAATATGCTAATATCCTTAAATAGTCCGTTAATTGAAAAAAAAAAAAAAAAAAAAAAAAGGGAATAGTTACCAAATAAAGTTAAAAACATGTCCTTGGATTTTATATGTAAGATTTTCAACTATAAAGTGTTAACGCTTAACTTTTTAAAATTATTTAACTTTTCTACAAATATATATATATATATATATATATATATATATATATATATATATATATATATATATATATATATATATATATATATATATATATATATATATATATATGATATATATATATATATATATATATATATATATATATATATATATATATATATGTATATATATATATATATTTATATATATATACATATATATATATATATATATATATATATATATATATATATATATATATATATATATATATATATATATATATATATATATATATATGTATATATATATGTATATATATATATATATATATATATATATATATATATATATATATATATATATATATATATATATATATATATATATGTATATATATATATATATATATATATATATATATATATATATATATATATATATATATATATATATATATATATATATATATATATATATTGTATGTGTATGCTAATTTTAGTTAGAGAATCAAGTTAGATAAATAAAAATGTAATATTTAAAATTTTTATGATTTAGCATAAAAATGCATTACTACTGATCAGTTCAAATAAGTTTTATAGCAACAAAAAGGTTAAACAAACTATATATATATATATAAAAATACTGTAATTCATAAGAAGCTATAATTAAGCAACACAAGAGTAATCTACACTAAATTAAAATTTCAGTTAAACAATATAATAAATATTAAGTAACATATGTTTATTAATAAAACTGTATTAAACATATAGGCTGAAATTTAAATAATAGTAATAATGTTTACAAGATTCACAAATACTGTTTTAACTTCATCAAGCATTTTCTAAATTGAAATTTTTACTTTTTTGGTTGCTTTTATTGTTTGGCTTCTTGATAGATATTAAAACTATCTAATTTTTTCTAATTTTTTTTTTTACATTTTTTTTTACATTTTTTTTACATTTTTTTAATGCTAATCTATTTTTAGGATCCATAGATAGATGATCAGCCTTTTTTTAAATCAATTTTTAATTTAAACAGTCTTTAAATTTTACTTTTTCAACTTTTCTTATTTTACTGATGCAACTAATAAAACTAGATCTTTAAAATATAAATCCGTTGTCTCTTTTGTTTGTTAAAATAATCAAAGATTATTTAGACAAACTTAGAGTAGAGTGAGGATAAAGAAGTTGACTGGTACTTGCAATCAAAACCTACTGCAATATCATAATACATAAAAAGTGTTGTAATATTCCTATCATATAAATACAATAGTTTAAAGATATATATTAAGCCTTTTTAAACCCCTAATTTCTAGTCTCGTTGTTCCTGGTTAACCATATTTATTTATATTATAACAACATTTAGCATTTGTACTTCAGTCTATCGCTGCAATTTATCATTCAGTTGTCGCAGACCTGTGTAAAATTGTTTAAATAATGAAAATAAGACATTCATCAAACAGTATTGCAATCTGGGGGGCACATTAAAACTTTTAATTTTGAAAAGATTTTATTTAAGAAGATCACCATGAAATTCCTCTATGGCTTTTTAAAAATTGAGCCTTATAATCTTTACATTCAAAAATGAAAATCCATTCAAAAAATTAAATTCTAACTCTTTATTTAGTTTTTATGTAATACAAAATTATTTAGAACAACTTTGATATGTTGAACATTTTTTATTTCTGCATATTTAAATAATAAACCTCTGAGTTGTGTTTATGTCGTGCCAAAAATCTTTTGCTTGTTCGACTAAATAATCTGTAAGTAATTAATTCATCTCAACTGAGTGGACAGAGCAAAACTTTTCAATAGCTAGAAAGTTGCTTTACATAGTTTTGATTTGATTGACACTTCAATATATATTTCTGATTTAGTTTCAAACCTTTTTGAAAAAACAAGTTATATAATAGAATATAGTTTTATTGTCAATGTATACAAATAACATTTAAATACAGAATAAACAAATCTATTCAATATAACTATTAACTAAAATTAGTGTGAATTAATTTTATTGTATTTTGTGTGTGCGTGTGTTTATGTACGAGTGAATTCTATAAACATGCACAGTTATTGCAAGTTTTATCAAACCATTCAGTTATTATATATCATGTTTTGCCAGCCCGTCACAATCTAAAAAACTATTCAGAAAAATTTCTAAATAAGTTATTGTAGATAAATATTGCTAGTGCGGCCATTCTGAACAATGAAGTACGAAATTCTGGCTTTTTCAGCTTGATAAATAACGATGAAACAAATCAAGCCTAACAATATTTTTTTCATTAACGAAAAATCTTTTATGTGTACCCTGATATACATACATACATACATACATACATACATACATACATACATACATACATACATACATACATACATACATACATACATACATACATACATACATACATACATACATACATACATACATACATACATACATACATACATACATATATATATTGAAAGGTATAAATGTTAAATGTTGAATAAATGATTGAGGTTAACACAAATTTTTAGCCTAGTCTTTACAAATTAACTTTTTAATGAAATTAAACTTTATTATATTTCGTTTTATTTTAGTTTCTCTTATTTTTGAAGATTAGTTTACACTTCCAGTTCGTTTTCATTTTTTAATAATGATTAATAACTACTCGGTTTCAAACGTTTTACTTTCCACAATACTTTTAATATCTGTTATCCTAAATGCAACAGCCTGCTATATTATTTTGCTTAAAGTAAAGAAGAAAGAAATAACACATTTGTTTATTGCCAGCATTTCGTTTACAAACATGCTGGAATCAATGGTTGGATTTATTCCTCAGATTGTAACTTCTGACAAAATTTTATTAGAACGAACTCCGTTATGTATTTTAAGCGGCTTTGTAGTTTTTGGGTGCGCTGTAACAAGTATAACTCACATTACAATACTTTCATCAATCAGAACAGCCGTTATAAAATATCCTTTTTTTTATTATGAAACGAGCAAGAAAGTGTGGTTTAAAACAACCTTGATAACAATCTGCTATATCTACGGTTTTAGTTGGGCTACATTTCCATTGATTGGTTGGTCTAAGTATGAAGTAGATGTCGATAAAAAGCGATGTTCCTTGGATTGGAAACTAACAAAATCAAACTCTTTATCTTACTTTGCAGCAGTATTAGTATTTTGCAATATAATGCCTTGTTTAGTCATATCAACAACGTTATACACCAGCAGAAAACTCATTTCTGAAAGAAAAGCTCGTAAAGCTAGTCAGAGCCAAAGCCATCAAGTTTCTCTTGATATTTTAGAAAATGATTATTTGAAAGTATGTCTTTTGTCAGCAATAGCATTTTTCATAACTTGGGCACCCTATGCAGTTATTGGTATTTTAACAGTATTAAAGATTGTTATTCCGACACAGTTGGTCACTGCTGCGGCATTGTTTGCAAAGTTGTCTACTATTACTAATGTTATCATTAATTGTTTTATCATTGAGTCATTTAAAAACCAAGTTTTTGACTTAAGATTCATTAAATATATTCGAAGCATAAATAAAATAACCTCAAAGGTTCAACCCCAAACTATTAATTACAACTGTTGAATAATAGTACGAAAAAAATAATGTTTAAGCAAAGTTATTAGTTGCATGGAAATGTCACATGATAATTTTTTTTTGAATGTTGCCTATTTATCTACTTTATTTATTTTTTTACTGTACTTAACTGTATTTTATGTATTATTCTACTGTACTTAACTATACTACGGTATTCACATTCATAAGGAGGGAGCGTTACAGTTAATTATACAGAAGCGACTACTCTTTTTTACTTTTAGTTACTTTTTTAAATAATCTATAGGTATATTAAATTAATTTTTGTTGCTAACTGTTTTTTTAAATCGTTTTTTCTGGCGTTTTTTAGTTGATATTTATATTTTTGTCACAGAGTAAAAACTTGTGGAAGCCACACAAAAAACTATTGCAACGAAACATATAATAGAATCAACAATGAGTGATAAAATAGATCATAGATTTTTTTAATGTTTTTTTAATAAATAACTATAGTTTGTTGAAATGCAATTTGAAAATTTTATTGCAAACGGGTTATAATTTATTTAAAAAAAGTCATTTTTTTCAACTTAAAAAAAAACAATATAATAATGAAAACCTTTTAAGGTGGTTTTAAATTTCTGAACAAATTTGTTTTTCATTTATTTTACAAATCTATGAAATCTTTCCGTTATGACTACCCACATTACTATTTGATTCTCTTATATTTAGGCAAATAAAGAGTAGCTCCTTATGTAAGTTTATAAATTTGAAATAATTTTTAATGAGCCTTCATCATTTCCGAAAAAAGTTTTTTTTTCAAAAGTTGTTTTAAATTTTAGTGTTTGCATCGTTTTTATTTATAACAATTTTTTATTATTTGATTGTCTTCTCTTAATGAAGCAGACATTATGTATTACGAAAGAATGAAAGTAGAAACTTCACTATGCGCTGTTTCTACTTTCAAAAACAACATAATTTGCTTCTATACTACGCTTGATTTCCTCAGCTAATCACATTTAATCTATTGAGTTTGGTCATCTTTACTTCACCCTTAAATGAAATTGCGATTATTCTTTTAATCGTTCGGCGCTTAACTTTAGGGGCCATCCATAAAAGACGTCACCATTTTTTAGCCAATTTTTGACCCCCTCCCCCCCACCTTTGTCACCGGTTGTCCTTTTTCCCTATACCCCCCCTTGAAAAAGACGTCATAAAATCCTGAACCCCCCCCCCCTTTTTTTAACTCCAAAAAAATTTGTTTCATCTCGCAATGATGTTTGAATCTGCTGTTACACCTTTGAAAAATAAAATTAAAAATATTCTCATACATTATCTTCTTAAAAACACAGGTTTACATAGTTTTCCATGTTAATTAAACTAAAATAAAAAATCTATAAAGTGAAGTCCTTTTCTGACAACCTCCCCCCTCCCCTTGTCCTTTTTGTCCTTTTTAACTCAACCCCCTCCCCCCCTCTATTTGGATGGCGTCCTTTATGGATGGCCCCTTACCACTATTTTAGGATCGATGTGTTACATGGCGGTAAAATGTGGACTTTAAGTAAACCTACCATTCTTTAGCATACCTTATTAACATGTTAAACCATGAATTAAGTTGGCTATAAAGATATATTATAGCTAACTTAATTCTTGTTTATATATATATATATATATATATATATATATATATATATATATATATATATATATATATATATATATATATATATATATATATATATATATATATATATATATATAATCACAAAGTGGTTTTACAAAAATGATAAATAAACTTCACAGTATAATTGTAAAACGAACGCGGAACATTTGCAGAAGACCAAATATTGCCATAAACATAAAAATATACTCATAAAAATTTTTACTTAAAATCATTACATTATAATAGTATAAAATGTCAGATAACAAGTAAACAAATATATGTCAGATAACAAGTAAACAAATATATTTATCATCAATCATCTATCCTCTATCATACAAATTTTTTATCATCATTTTTTTTTTAATATTTGAGTTTAAGTTGGGGTAAAATTTTAGGTGAAGGGTAACATTGACACATCTTTAGATATATATATATTTTTTTTAGCTGTGACAAACTAAATTTGATATGCAATAATTTTATGTGTTAACCTATAATAATGCTAATGAAGAATTTAATTAGTTATCTAATATTATGAGTATATAATTAATTTTGTTTTTTGGATTCAACTGACAATGTTATCCCTATATGGGACAACATTGATAGTTGTATGTTTTATGCTGTAAATGTTATAGTTACATCATTAGGGGTAACATTATCATTGAAATATTGACAAATAAAATAGAGAAAACATTTTTAATGTATAATAATAAGTTACAAAATCCCGCAGCGTTGTCATTTTTTCTTAGACTTCTTTTTTACAACTTTTTTAGCCTTTGATTTAATTTCAGATAATTATTCTTAAATAAATACTCTTTTAGGTTTTGATGTTTTGTTCTAACCAATATTATGCAACATTGTTAGGTGCGGATTTTAACTTTTTGCAAGTGTTGGTTTTTAGATCTGTTGACATTTGATGTATTGGTACATCTTATGTAATTGTGAAAAATTTATCAGACGTAAGACATTCCGCCAACTTTTGCTTGACCTATGCATTCTTGTCAATGTTACCCAAAAACTAAAATATGGGTTTAAAAAATAACGCTACAAAAAATTTCTAAATTTAAAAGCAACATCACAAAAATCTCTATATATTATTACCGAACTTAATAGTGTTAGTAGTAGTGTTAGTGCTCCTTCGAGCGTGTTTGACACGGATTTCTTGGTAGCCATTGCAACCAAAGTAATAGCGAGTAAGAGTTGCAGCAATTTGTTTTACAAGAAAATGTGAACGAACCTGTATGCAAATATCTAACGTACGTAAACTTCAAATTAACTAATGTTAAAACATACTGTAACACTTATCAAGTTTTACAGTTTGATTTTCACTTAAAAATTGAATTGCGACAAGCTCTCCTTAATTTTGATCTATAACATTTATTTCCGTGAAAAAAATCATTATATAGTTTCAAAAAAATTCGTATAACATCGTGACTGCGTCGCCAAATGGATAGCGCGCCGAGCTTCTGAAAAAGTAAGCCGTCGTTTGAGTCCTACCACTAACGATTTTTTTTTTTAAATTTTTTTCGATTATTTTAAAATACAAAATACTTTTGAAGATTTATAGAGACTATAAACAAACATATGTAAATATGTTTGTTTATTATACTATACACTTTAACAAACGAAAAGATTTTATAAAAGATAAAATTTCTAAAAACACCGAGAGAAAAAATTTGTTGCGTATGTGTCATGATTGAGATACTTATGTTGTTAATGTGCTCAGGTAATTAGTCCTAATAAGCTGCGGATGGTCTGAAAAAAAAAGTTATTTGAAACTCAATAAAGAAAAAACTTAATAAGACAGTCCTGCTACTACAGAAAGTCCTGCTGTGTAAGCAAAAAAAAACCCGTAGCTAGAAAAAAATTTTTTTTTTTTTAGCTACGGGTTTTTTTCTAGTTTTTTGACAATTAAAAAAATTTTTTACTACATTTATTTTTTTACTATAAATATATGGTATGTCGGTTTTTCAAAACACTCTTATGTGCTTATTACGTATTTCGAGAAAAACGCAGTTAATTAAAAAGTTATTAGGAGAAACTCTTTGTAAAACGTTTTTTGAAACGAATAATTTTTATAAATTTTTTCATAACTCTTTCAAAATATGTATTTAATAACGTTTGTAGACATCTAAACTAGCTTGTTTTGTAAAAAAGTCAAAAGTGATTTTTTTTTACCTTAAGGCGTTTTGAAAAACGGCCGTTTATCAAATGGTCGTTACCAAACCTAGGTTTGTTAAAAACCCATATCCCAGTCAAAAAGTGCACATGGGATACACGTGAGTTTTTTCCATGATTTTGTCCGATGTGGGTTCCATATGGTAAATCCCACATGGGTTCCATATGGTAATTCCCACATGGGATACGCGTGGGCTTTTTCCATATGTAACCCATGTGGGGATTATTATTTTGTCCCATGTGAGTTCCATATGATAAATCCCATATGGGTTCCATATGGTAATTCCCACATGGGATACGCGTGGGCTTTATTCATATGCAACCCATGTGGGGATTATTATTTTGTCCAATGTGTTTTGTTTTTTTGTTGTAGTTTTTACATTCATGTTTCCACATTTGTGTGGTTTGGGTTGCTCTCCATAGCGACATATAAATGCCGTTATGAAAGAGTTAAAGCAATCTTTTACAACTGTACGCCCTTCCTGACGTTAACATGCAGCAAGTTGTATTAGACTACATGTTACCAGTAGCAGAATAACTTGACCTGATGGTCAGCGTATCTGGGTTATATATGTTAAATCCCACACGAGTTATAGGTTGAAAAAACCACATGTTTAATAGGTTTTAAATGCCACACATTCTAATTCAAATGCTATAAAAGTAGCGAATACCATATAAACGAAACATTGAAATTAATCATGGAAGCTTTCAGTGAGGCTTAAATTTATCTGGTATTAGCTACTTTATGCTATTTAGGATCAAATATATGCGATGTTCTCCACAAATAATATGGGATTTACCATAAAGTATTACAACAAAATTCTACAAAATTAAAAAACGTGTTGCAAAATGAATTTATATTTAAATAATAGCTATTAATAAATACATTAAAAATAAATGTGAAAAATATTATTTGTTCTTTTGTGATTTACACGCCTTTTGTTGAATCAATTAATAAAGTAAATCGCCTTGGCTCGCTAAATGCTAAGGTTTTTACCATATAAAGAAAAAAATACTTTCTTCAAGCATTTCCTATTTATATATATATATATATATATATATATATATATATATATATATATATATATATATATATATATATATATATATATATATATATATATATATATATATATTCATCTACAAATATAACTATAAATAAATTTTAATAAAAACAAATATCAATAATTACCTAAATTAACCTAAATTATACGGTTATTATAGATTAAAATAATAAGAACAATCCTAATTAAAAGCCTTATTAATTAAGAGCAGTTTTAATTAAAAGCCAAATTGAAGTCATTAATGACTTCAACTTGGAATTTATTTCACACATAATTAGTTCTTCATTTATTACTTATGATGACTAATGTATTATGGATAATTTGACAAGAGCTTGTATCCGTTCATGAAAATCTAATTTGAGAAAAAGTGCTCAATTAGGGGTGATACCCCCCCACACACCCCTATCGCGCCGGCCTTGTATATATATATACAGGGCTCGAAAAGTATTCGCGTATCGCTATCGCGATTCGCGATAGCGATACGCGATTACTTTTCGCACCTTCGCGATTAGTTTTTTCTTAAATTTGTTTTTTCGCGACCTTTCTTTTTTTCGCGATTATTCTTTTATCATTTTAGAAAAATCTAATTTTAGATAATTAATATTAATCGCGAATATTTTGCGTTTACAGTATAAAACTGCAGTGACTTCTGTATCAATAAATTTTTTTAAAAGCTGAGCATAGAGTAAAAGAAACAAAAATAAAATATTTAGAAAATCAGTTAGCAAAAATGTATTAGTAAAAATGTAAAAAAATACCTTTTAGAATCAAGTAATAAAAGATTTTGATTAAAAAAAGAAATAAAAGTTAATTGATTGAAAAGTCATTTTCTTAACTCGAATTCTCAAGGGTTTTATTCTGATTTTGCTCATTCATTATGAACAAATTTAATGATATTTTTATAAGTTTAATTTGCGAAGAATTGTGGAAGGCAATACAGACTCTAAATTAGTTATTAAAAAAAAACTCTCTAAAGTTTGTTAGTATACTTGTTAACTTTAAATTAACAGCAATAAATGGATGCAAATAAGGACCACAGACGCAGATTATCTACAGTTAAAAAGTGGGAAAAACTTTTGAATTGCGAGTTAGAATACGATTTAAATGGAGATGAAGTTATAAGATTAAGTTTGCAGTTTATGTAAAAAAGATTAAGATTAAGATGCAGTTTATGTAAAAAATTTGAAAAACGGATAAGTCAAACAAAATTGTTTTCTATGACCTGGATCAAACCAGGAACAATATCAATAAAAAAAGACTCACTGGCAGCGCACTTAAATAGTGCGCAACATAAAGAGGCCACGCAAATTCATCAACAAAAAACATTAGGTTCAGTTTCATTATTTAACCATGTTATTCATAATACTTCTATCGGGCGTGGTTTACGTAAAATGGCCGTAAAAGACGCCGACTCGTTACGGAAAAAGTTTAATATTGCATATTACTTGGCAAAACGAGAGCGTCCATTCACAGATTATATTTTTTTGATTGCATTAGAAAAGACTAATGGGGTTACAAATTTAGGAAATTCTTATGGCACTGACCTTGCAGCTGCAATATTTACAGATTACATTGGCACCGTAATTAAAAACAAATTAACTGAATGTTTAAAAAATTGCAGAGAACACAGTAAAATAGTAATTTTACTGTGTTCTCTGTGATAGAAGCACAGATTCAGCTGTATCAGAACAGGAATTAATTTACATTCTTTATTTAAAAGACGGAAGTCCGAAAGTAGAATTCTTATCTATTGAAACGGGAGAGAATTCTAATGCTGTTGGCCTGAAAAAATGTATAACAGACGCTTTTACAAGAGTTGGCATTACCAATTCTTATAAACATCTATTGGGTGTAAATCTTGATGGAGCTAACGTTAATCTAGGAGCTTATGCTGGTTTAGGCGCATTACTAAAGGAAGGTTCTCCTTGGCTGGAAGTTGTACACTGTTTTAACCATCGACTTGAACTTGCTTTAAAAGATGCGTTTGAAAGTTTATCTGCCTTCAAAACTGTTGACGAACTCCTTTTACAACTTTATTACTTGTATCAAAAGTCACCAAAGCGCTACCGAGAACTACAAGGATTAGCCGAAGCTTGGGGTAATAGCGTTCCGAAACCAACAAATGCATGCGGAACTCGGTGGATTGATCGCAAGTATAAAGCAATGAAAATTGCTTTAGAAAATTATGGTGTGTTTATGACACATATTGAACCATTGGCTATAACAGACTCCCAGATAGCAAAGAGAGCTGAGTTAAAAGGTTTTTTAAAGCGATGGAAAAATGCGTCTGTGCCTATTAATTTATCAATATATCTTGATGTTTTATCTCCCCTTCGGCGTTTGAGTTTAAGTTTTCAGAACAATATTCATGATTCAGTAAAAGCTGTAAGTAGAGTCCAAGAATTTACATGGACAATGGCCAAGCTGCAAATTCTTCTTGAAAATTTGTTAGACAATTTTCTTGATGATACAAGTGTTATGACCCATTATAAAAGACTGTCTAAAGATATTAGGCCGGGTGAATAAAAATGAGCAATTGCTTTGACTTAGTAATTGGTCAGCTTTACGTGAATAAAAATATTAGGAGTTTTGCTCAAATTTTTATTCACATAAAGTAAAGCAATTTACTTAGTAATTGTTCGGCATTACTTAAATAAAAACTTAAAGAAAATTCCTTTAGCTAATGTATATATATATATATATATATATATATATATATATATATATATATATATATATATATATATATATATATATATATATATATATATATATGTATATATATACATTATTTATTTTATTTACATAATACATTTGCATATTACTTTATTTATATATTACATTTACATATTAATTGATCTATTTACTACATTTATTTATTACATTAGTTTTATATATATATATATATATATATATATATATATATATATATATATATATATATATATATATATATGCATATATATATATATGCATATATATATATATATATATATATATATATGTATATATATATATATATTTAGTATTAGTATTAAGTTGTATTTGTTATATTAATTACAATTACAATTTTATATATATATATATATATATATATATATATATATATATATATATATATATATATATATATATATATATATATATATATATATATATATATATATATGTATATATATATATATATATATATATATATATATATATATATATATATATATATATATATATATATATATATATATATATATATATATATATATATATATATATATATATGTATATATATACATTATTTATTTTATTTACATAATACATTTGCATATTACTTTATTTATATATTACATTTACATATTAATTGATCTATTTACTACATTTATTTATTACATTAGTTTTATATATATATATATATATATATATATATATATATATATATATATATATATATATATATATATATATATATATATATATATATATGTATATATTTATATATATATATATATATATATATATATATATATATATTTAGTATTAGTATTAAATTGTATTTGTTATACTATTTACAATTAGAATTTAAGTTATTTATAAATTACTTTAATTCTTATTACTTTAAAAACTTAGGAGTCTTTATTCCCAATAACAGTGGTATTCAAGTTAAAAATTGAAATGTTTCTGTAAATCTTCTGTTTAGGTTCTTCAATGTAGTTCAAATGTCCCTTATGAAATCCTTAATTAAGAGTTTTTAATCCTAAAAAGTTACCAAACTTCTCCCCTTTCTTTTTTTCTCTTTATTTTCATTAAAGAAAAAAGGAAATTATGTGAATTTTAAACCTATTTCTTTTACTATATAATATATAGTAAAAGGAATAGGTTTTACTATATATAATAATATATAGTAAAAGAAATATATATACTGATATAAAAACAACTATTATCATCTTAATAATACTTTTATTTGCACAAAAACTCTTAATTCGATAAAAAAGATACAAATTGTTTGTAGTATTTACATACTTGCTTGCCATTTTTTAAGATTAATTTTAGATATTTTTATGCTAAAACAAGATGCATGTAGCTTCACCGCGAAAGTAATGTAATGTTGTTTTTAACATTTAAGATTATTTTAGTTTCCAGCCTTCAAATAAAATCCCATGTAAATCCCACAAAAAACCCACGTGGAATTTCCCATGTGGGTAAATACCATATGGTTCCCACATGTAACCCATTTGGGATTACCCATATGGGTTTTAAGTGGCAACATTCCATACGGATACCACATGGGAAAATCCCATGTGGGTAAATACCACATGTAACCTATGTGGGATTCACCCATATGGGTTTTAAGTGGCAAATTTCCATACGGATATCACATGAGAAAATCCGTCCCATATAAATCCCATGAATCCCACACGAAACCCACATGGAACCCATGTGGGACGCGGGTTTTTTTTTCACTGGGTATTTTACAGATCCGGAAAGCTAGGATATATAAGGTAAAAGTATAGAAAAGTTTGGTTTGGAATAGACTAACAAGACCTGTATTTTTACGGGTCCAATCTTAGTGATATTATGAATAATTTTACTTAATTTTTGACTAAAGTTTTTCAGCAACAAAAAAACAAGAAATTTATTTAACTTATGCCCTCCGTATTGTCTTGTTGTTTACACTTAGGGATCGTCCATAAATTACGCAACGTAAAACTTATTGAAAAAATATAAGAAGATCATTTTGCTCTTTTGAGCGGCGGTTTTTGCTGGACTTATAGGGCTGTTTATATTTTTGGTTTAATTAAAGACTATGCGAGGGAAAGCTTTTAATTTTTTTTCTTTCGTCTATAAGTTAAGTTTCTCATTATTTAATTTATGGACGATCCTTTACTATTATGTGTATATATATGTGATCCTTTTCAAAAAATGATAGAATCAGCTAGCTAAAACTAATTGAAAATTACAAACAAAGTATTTTTTAGGAAATTTAATCTATGCTCTACAATTTAATATAAAAAAATTAAAGGTGTGGCTATGCTTCACATTAAGAAATAACCGTTGAACAAAGAGATGCTAGGGGCCCGTTTTACCCCGGAGGTAGCCTAAATTGGGCCCGTTATTTAATTTCTGAATAAAACCTGATTATTAAATAAAAATTGACTGTAACTAATTTATTGATAGTACATAATCTTCTGTTCATAGTTTAAATTAAAATTTGACATTCTGAGTAAAATCAACTGAGGCAGAATGTACAATGTGCCTAAATTGAAATATCAACTTTCGAACTATTCTTGTGCAAATTAAAAAGATAATATGTTTAATTTTAAAAGAAATTAAAAAACACAACAAATATAAGTGTTTATTATAATTGCAGTAAACATAAATATAATATTTAGCTCAACAAAATTAAAAAGCAGTCTTTTAAAGTATATTTAAAAAAAACGAAACCTCAATTTTTTATATTACTTAAAGCGGTGAAGATTAGTTATATTACTTAAAGTGGTGAAGATTATCTTTATTTGTTCAAGATATTCAGCACATCTATAATTAAATTTATACAATCTATAGTTTATGTAATATATAATTAAGTAAGATCTGCATATTTTTACAAAAATGTTCAGGTTATAATCAATATTTAAATATATATGTAAATAAATGACACAAATAAAAGATTATAAAAATTTTTAAAAATACAAATACATAGCTGTTGCTATGTATTTGTATTTTACTCAAAATAACACAATTAACATAAGTGTTTTTTACAATTACAGTAAAAAATATTTAGCTAAAAAAAATTTCAAAAGTCCTACTTTCAAATACTTTTTATGCCAAAAAAAAACAATGAAAAAATCTATTTATCGGATGGTTTTCTTAAATGTTTATAGTCTAATCCACAACCTTCATTTAAATTTATAATTATTATTGTCCAAGCAAGGGATTTATTAAGGGGCCAATCTCACCTTAGGGGTCCGTTTTAGACAACTATCCCCTAGGTGGCGATTTTCATTAAACTTAATAAGCTTAATTTTGATTTTTCGTTAAACTTAATTTTGATTTTTCATTAAACTTAATAAGTTTAATTTTCATTAAACTTAATGAGTTTTATTTTCATTAAACTTAATGAGTTTAATTTTCATTAAACTTAATGAGCTTAATTTTGATAAACTTAATGAACTTAGTTTTGATTTTTAATTTAACTTAAGAATCTGCGAGGAAAAACTTTTGATATTTTTTGTTTCGTTTAAAAGTGAAATTTAGCGTTGTGTAATTTATTGATCCAACAATTTATTATTCAAAAATTTTTTTGTAAGTTTTTTAAAAAATATCTTAATTTAAAAAAAATAATAATAATAACAACAATTATTACTTCCAGCGGTATCATTCCGGTAGCTGTTTATTTGTCTAATAATTAGCGGTAGTTGTTGCCTGGGCACACTACCGCTATTTTAGACCCTACTGTTTAGTTACACAATCAAAATGTTGAAAATATCTATTTTTTGTTGCGACATGGCTTCCTAATATTAACACGCCATAGAGTTCGGCAAATTGTGCAAATAAACTTTCGAACATTTAAAGAATTCTATGAACACAGATAGAAATTTAAATTAAACAAAAGTTTCATTACATAAGGAAAGTTATTTTTCATCGCAATTTCTGAAGGGGTTTTATAGTTACATAAATTCTTTGAACTTTGATAGATAAAGTTTATTCAAATAAAATTTCGCTTACAATGGATTGTCTATAAATTGCGCAATACAAAACTTGTTTAAAAAATATAAGTTGGAGATCATTTTGCTCTTTTTCGAGGCGGTTTTTGCTGGACTTAAAGGGTTGTTTATATTCTTGGTTTAATTTAGAAAATCCTTAATCCTTTTCTTTTCTATAAGGGATCGTCCATAAATTACGTCACGCAATTTTTGACAGATTTTGACCTCCCCCTCCCCCTCGTCACAAAATCGTAAGACTTAAGAAGCAAGTTTTGTATGAGTCGTCACAAAACTACCAACCCCCCACCCCCTTATAGCGTGACGTAGTTTATGGACGACCCCTACATTAAATTTGGCGTTACGTAATTTATGGACAATCCCTAAAAAGAAAGTTATTTTTCATCGCATTTTCTAAAGGAGTTTCATTGTTCTAAATTCTTTAAACGTTAATAAATAAAAATCAAAGCTTTTTTTTTAAAGTAGCTCGCTAAACCGGAAGCATATTTTGAAACCCTATACAGGCTCAGAATAGGCAGAAATATGAGCAATCTGATTCGCTGATTTTGAAAGAGAGGCAAGTGCGCTTTATTTAAAAATATTTTTTAAATATTTCATAGTAATGATAAACTAAGTTAATGATAAACTAAGTTTATCAATACAAGTCTTGTGTTACTATCAACATAGAGATTTTATTTTATTATTCTTTAGAATATTTAAAAGGTATCAAAATCTATTTATAACAGAGAATTTTCACTCGTAAAAATCTCAAAGTTTCAATAAAGTTTATCTTGGTGATGGAGCTCCAACAACAAAATTTTACACTTTAAAATAACAACAGATAAAACCTCCGGAGGTTTTATCTGTTGTTAATTTAAAGAAATGGAAAAAAGTGTAATTCGAAAAGATCTTATGCTGATACTTATAATAATGATTATCCT